CACTGAATCACATTCCTTTTTATTTTTTATTTTAAGACAGGGTCTTGCTAAGTTGCTTAGGGCCTGACTAAGTTGCTGAGACTGGCCTCACCACATTCTTTCCCAGTAATTCCAGGCTTTAAAATGTTTGAGTTTTTTTTTTGTTGTTGTTGTTTGTTTGTTTGTTTTCTGGATTTAGTCTTATTATCTTTGTTATTCTCAAAATATCTTTAAAACCTATCTCAAGCCAGATGCAGTGGCACATACCTCTAATTCCAGCTACTCAGGAGGCTGAGGCAGGAGGATTGCAAGTTCAAAACCAGTCTCATCAACTTAGGCCCTAAGCAACTTAGCAAGATCCCTTCTCAAAATAAAGAATAAAAAGAATTAGGAGGCCGGGGTTGTGGCTTAGTGGTACAGCGCTTGCCTAGCATGCGTGAGGCACTGGGTTCGATCCCTGGAACCATGTAAAAATAAAAAATAAAAAATATGCCCATCTACAACTAAAACAAAACAAAACAACAACAACAACAAAAAAAAAAAACAACCAAGGATTAGGGCTGTGGCTCAGTGGTAAAGTGCCTCTGGCTTGAATCCCTGGTACCAAAACAAAACAACCCCAGAAAAACTACCTCAAGGTGTAGGGGTTGTAGCTCAGGAGTAGAGTGCTTGCTTCAAATGTGTGAGTCCTTGGGTTTCATCTCCAGTGCTAGGAAAAAATTAATAAATAAAAGCTACCTCGAACAGTACTTGTGTAAGTTGTCCTCTTCATTGACAAATGTGTTGCTGTAAAAGTTGATGATCTGTGTTTAACTATGCCACTAGACTGCATATATTATAAAAGCTTTTCARCTTAATTTTGTTAATAAAGACAGCTTTTTTCAGACAGTTAAATGTCAATATTCTCTACCAACAGGACAAAGCAGGACCTCATAAGGAAATCTACCCCTATGTCATCCAGGAACTTAGACCAACTTTAAATGAACTGGGAATCTCCACTCCAGAGGAACTGGGCCTTGACAAAGTGTAAATCCCTATGGGTAAGCGGCACACCAGTGACCAAGGCAGGAGAAGAAACCAGGGAGGGGCAAGTGAATGTCATTCAGGGCTCTCAAAGCACTTATTCTTGCTTCAGGTAGTATCCACTAATATATAGATTTAGAGAGTATCACAATGATGATAAATTTAAGGAACTGAAATTATTTTTTATAGTTATTATTCTCTAAGTGRTGTAAAGTCAAGCAAAAGCCTCCTTCACTAAGTGTCTATGTAAACAAAGAATAACAGATAGCTAGGCACGGTGGGCATGCCTGTAATTCCAGCAGTAATCCTGATCACAAGTTCAAAGCCAGCCTCAGCAAAAAAGTGGAGTGCTAAGCAACTCAGTAAGACCCTGTCTCTACATAAAATACAAAGTAGGGCTGGGGATGTGGCTCAATGGTTTGAGTGACCCTGAGTTCAATCCCCAGTATACCCCATCCCCCGCCACAAAAAAAAAAAAAAAAGAATAACATCATAACAGCAAGTCCATGTGCCACACCTAAATTTTCAGATATTATTTTGCCCTGTTTCCTTTGTTTTTAGTTTTTCCTCTAAAAAATGACCAGTTTCACAAAGAGTTAGAGCCCTTTGTGTGCCCTTAATTTTTCAGTAGCAGACTTAATGACACTTTCGTTTTTGTGGGCCCCATWGATTTAATAATTAAATAAATACCTACTATTTAGTAATAAAACTTATTTRATAACCTCATTCTCTGGAAAGACAGAGCAAATCAAAACAGTCACAAGATTGTCTAAGCAGTGAACAGGGTACAGAAAATCCTTTGTTAAAACAGAAAATTTATAGGCAGTAACTTGTTTAATTTTTTAAATTTGGGGGGTACTGGGGATTTATCCCAGGGGTAATTTACCACTGAGTTATATCATCTACCCTTTTTATTTATTTTGAGACCAGGTATCACTGAGTTGCTGAGGTTAGCCTTGGACCTGTGATCCTCCTGCCTCAGCCTCCCTAGCTGCTGGTATTACAGGCATGTCACTGCATCTGGCTTTGTTTTTATTTTATTTTATTTAACAAACACATATGGTGTAAATAGCTTTTACTGTTCCAGACAGTGTGCTGTACATTCTCTCTCTTTAAATCCATTTAATTCCTGTAATAATCTGTGAGGTAGTTACTATTGGTATAATTATTCCCATTTTACTGAAGAGGAAACTGAGGCACCTTGGCCATGGTCATACAGTTAGTGGTGTGAACCTAGGCAGTCTGGCCTAGAGGCCATTGCTCTTACTCACTAAGCCATGCATGTTGTGCAGATACTTTGGTACTGGGCATTTACCAAGGCCAGACTCCTGTTTCTCAAATGTAAATAATGAGGCTCAAATACAGGATTTTTTTCCCCTAAAAGTAAGAAGACATTTATTTTTAAAAAGTGGCACTAAAATGTGYCATTAAAATTTCAAAATGAATGGATCCAAAGTTATCTAAAGAGCTTATGTTGGCTGGGCATGGTTATCACCTGTAATACCAGTGCCTTGGAAGGCCGAGGCAAGAGGATTGCAACTTCAGAACCAGCTTAGTGGTTAGGTGCTTCTGGGTTAAATCCATAATACAAAAAAAAATTTTTAAAGGCTGGGAGTGTAGCTATGCCTGTGATCCTCCTAGTTTGGGAGGCTAAAGCAGGAGTATCACAAATTTGAGGCCAACCTCAGCAATTTAGTGACACCCTGTCTCAAAATGAAAAAGGGCTGGAGATATAGCTGTGTGATAACAAACTCCTAGGTTCAATTCCTAGTACTGCAAAAAAAAAAAAAAAAGTTTGGTTTATTTATTTTTTTAAGTGCAACTGTCATATCCTTTTCTAACTGGAAAA